TTGGAAAGAACATTTACAAGAAAGAACTAGATAAAATCACCTTTCTTGATCCTATCACAGAAGGAGCTGCTGTGGAGGCAACGAAGTAGCCTAAAAGCCAAGGAGAGTCAGCTCCCAGCCCCCTCCTACCCACACCCTAGCATCAGCTGTGGCGGACCAAAAGAGAAAGGCAAGGGGGTAAAACATTAGGACAAGCAGGACACACAGGAGGTTTACATTTAGCCCCAAAGCTTCGTGAGGCTGGAGGCTAGAAACTCCCCACAGCGTGCAGGTGGAGACAAGGCCCAGGTAAACAGACACTGTGTCTGGGAGGAAAAAAGAAAAAAATACCACGAAAAAATCCAAGGGAGAGAAAAATAGTCTTGAGCACAGGATCCTTTACCAGAACATCTGGGAAAGAGGCGGGGAAAGTTGTCCTCAGATCTTCAGCAGATGCAGACCAACAGGAGGAGCGACAGGAATGCTGCGGAAACCCTTTGCCCAGTGCATGGGGCCTACGAAACACTAAGACTGGATGCAGGCCACCCATCACACAGCCCAGCCGGCAACTGGAAATAGGCAACAGCAGCATACTGCTGAGGAAGACCAACAGTATAAACAGTGACACCACCAGCATCCGCACTGTCTTCAGACAGCTGCGCAATCAAAGCTGAAAACAAAGAAAGCTTGAAGCAGAGGAAGAAAAAAAGCCTCCAGGGACCTAGCGCCCACCCTGAGTTTGAGGTTGGTGATAACCATAGCAACCACAAAACCAAAATCAGCTGGGCCCCTGACTATATTTATTCAATACCTGAAGCACATGCCCATTAACAGGATTACGAACTGTTTACTTCAGTCCCTACTGTTCTATGTAAGATACTATTACACATTCAATAAAAATTTCTTTAGATATACAAAGAAGCAGAGAAAAGAACTCACTGTCAGAAAAAAACAAAACCAGACTCAGAGGGCCCAGTGGTCCTTTTATAAATCAGAATCTGCTACTGGCAAATAAAGGGTATGTGCTTGCACATACATGGGGTACAGAGAGACTCAGAATGTCAGAAAGGAGATGAGAGCGCAGACCCTCCATCCTGCCTCAGATCCTGATGAGAACACCAACAACAACAACAAAAACAGGCATAGAAAAAACCTATTTCTAATGTGCTATAAGGTCAGAACATTAAAAACTAAAGATTATAACTAAAAGTATGAAGTTATGATTCTGATCAAGCTACTGAATAACTGGCAGAAATGAAAAAATGCATCTGCTTACAAAGCTTTCTAGATTTCTTGAAGTATGCCTGTTTGTTTTGTGCCATGCTTTTTAAACTAGTGAAAAGTATTTTTTAAATTGTACTGCAATATAATTTGAAGATATAAAGCAAAAATTTCTGAGATTAACCAAAATAACATTTAAAGTTAAAATATTCTCAAGATAATATATGTAATAAACATAATTGCACAAAGCAGAAAAAAAAAAACAATCAGCCCACTAGAAGATTGAGCAACAGACACAAATAAAAAATACACAAAGAAACTAAAAACTGATGATATCCAACACTATTAGAACTAGTCACTATTATTGCTCAGTAGAGACCCAAGCTGGTACAACCAGTACTTCTCTAGAATTCCAACAAGAGGCACCCAAAGGAAGCTTCTTTTCTGGCTACCTTCCTACCAACTTTAAATTTGTATCATCTACTCCTCATTCCCCTGCAAAATTCTATCTTTTAAGTAATTCAAACACTTTTTGCCCTCTGCTCCATGGGAGAAATTAACTGACCTATCATTCATAATCACATAGCACTTTGTCTATTTCTCTGACCATTAAAACACTAAACTGAAGTTACATCATAGATCAGTGCTGATTTATAATATGCAAAGAATTCTTACTCATCAACAACAAAAAATATGGAGCATGAACAGAAAATACACAGTAAAGAAAAAATAAATAGCAAACAATTTGGTTCACAAACAGAAGCAATGGCAGAATTTTGTTTTTGTTTGCCAACTGTGCACAGGGTGAAGAACACAGGGTCTTGGTTACTTTTCTCTAGTTGCTGGGACAAAATACTAGATACTCAAAATGAAGGAAGGAAAGGTTTATTTAGCTCATTGCGGAGGTTTCAGTCCATAATCAGCTGGTCCAAGGCAGGGCGGCAGGGTGGCACTGCTTCCAGGCAACACAAGGCAGCAGCCAGCAACAGCAGCCAGAACAAAAAGGGGAAAGAGCTAGCCTCTTTTTCTCCCGTATACTGTAATGCAGGCCACCTCCTGCCCCCCAGGGCAGATGTACCACTCACAAAAATCTCTGTGCCCTCCTCTTACACAGGCTGAGGATATTTATAAAGTAAGGATCCTGGCTCCCAGCTGAGTCTCTTAAATTTCTAAAACTTTGCAAGTTGACACAATGTATAACCATAAACACATAAACACAACCATAAAACTGCAGCCATTCTCAAGAATGTGGCCATCTTTTCCAGAATTGTAGAACAGATTAAGTTCCTTAACCAAGGTACCAATGTACAACCTCATTAGTAATATAAATGAAAATCATAATGATACCTTTTATTACCTACTAAACCAGAAAATATCAAAAAAATTGGCTATACTAATCATGAGGAAATAGACATTTCAATAAAACTTGATGTTGCTGATGTAAACTGGCAAGTCTCATATGAAGGAAATTTAGTATTACTTATCAATATTATAAATGGATATATCATTTGACCCATTTCTATTTCTCAGTTTATACCATAAAGTATGTCCTGTTTATCTCCGTATCACCAACATGTCACACAGTGCTCATGAAGCAGGATAAATAAAAGCTACTATGGCAAAGTTCCTAATCGATTACTTTTATAGGAATAAGAATATATTAAACAACTGCAAATTTATATATTCACCAAAAACTTTCCACATTTAGTTTTCATTTTGGATATCCCATAATCTAAAGTTCAGAGTCTATCAAATTACATCAAAAAGATCAAGAAGATTTACCTCTATTTTCTTTCCAGACATACCCTCCAAAGTCACTCATTTCATTATTTTTACTAACCATGAGAATGATTGCTTTAGCATCATTGTGGACTGAAATCCTCCTTCCAACACATTCAAGCTATGTAACCCTGAATCTTTGGACTTCTGTTCCATCTGAAAATGCTTATAAAAGTGTCTATGTTTCATAGAACTGTTAAGATTAAATGAATACAATATGCATCTTGAGACCATACTCATTAGTGAAATAAATAAGACATATGTATAAACATCATATTGTCTCAGTGTAAGAAGCTGAAAAAAACAACATATGTATATGTGTATGTATATCTATATAAAAATAGTTAAGATAGTTCTACTACTACTTTCTTTAAGTTCACTGAGAGAAGGGAAAGATTTGTGCTGATATTGTTTAGACAATTGAATGCAGATGTCTTGAGCTCTGGGTGAATAATTTGGGGATAACAATATGCAATGTATGTACCATTGTTGCCCACTGACATGTTCTAAAATTTTTATTTTTCCTTCTTTTTTTTTTCTCTTTCCCCTTGAAATAAAATAGGTTGGAAAAAAAATTGAATACAATATATGCAGTATGCTTAGATAAGTATCTAGTATTCTATAGTAAGCATTCTATATATTTTAACTACTAAATATTTGTCAGCTTCTCAGGGTCTTATTATAATTATCCCTGAGCTGCTTCTTTCACCTTCAAAAATCATGACATTAAGGAGAAAGATGACAGGCACAGCGGCACATGCTTATAATCCTAGCACTTGGGAGGCTGAGGCAAAAGGATGGCTGGGAGTTTGAGGTCAGCCTGAGGTACACAGCCTGAACTACTTTCGACGACCCTGTCTCAATAAATAAAAAAATAAATAAATAAAAATAAAAAAGGAAGACATTCAGAAAAATAATATTGACTATCTCTGTGTCTACATTCACTAATATCAGTGCCACTTGGGGAAATAACAATGAATACTATACTCTATAACCAGATGATACAAGATAAAAAGTGGAGGATTTATGAAGATATGGGCAACTATTTCAAAGAAAACAAGAGACATTATGGTAGTCACTGTTGATTTCCTGTTGTCTTGTTTTGAAGTCCTGTGTTGCTTGCATTGTTTTGTTCTGATCTGCTTTGTTCTGTTTTATTCTCTTTAAAATAAATATAAAAAATTTTTAAAAATAAAAACTAAATTTAAAAAAGGTTGAGGAGTTGGCCAAAATCTGCCTTTCAGTCCCTTGTCTCAGTAGGAAGCAAAGCAATAATGCTTTTAGGCTATCATACAGTCTTCAGTTTAACAAGGTACTGGGCAGTTACAATAGAGAAAAAGATAGTTCTAATTTCATTCAATATGAAACCAGTTGTGAGAACATATTTTATTTCTTTATGTTTCCAAACTATGTAAAAGAATACAAATTTAGACATATATATGATACAAATCTAAAATTCTACTATATAATCTTAGTACTGGTGATCCTGTAATACCTAATTATAAAAACCAGATAGGAGGACAGAATGTAACTGAAAGAACAAAAAGAACTATATATACACACACATACACACAGTACATCTTAATTAAAGTTCATTAATTCAAACAGTAGATTTTGTTTTACACAGGCAGTGAAAGTATACTAAATAAAGCCTGAGTTCTGAAATCAAACTCTTTGGGTTTAAATCCTTGCTGCAGCATGTAGTAGCTCTCTGACCTTGGACTTCTAATACAACCTATCATCAGTGTCTTGATTTTCTTCTCTGTGTAATAAGCATAATAACAATAGCTCCTCCATAGCGTTGCTGTAGGGGTTGAGTCTATTGCTGAGTATCAGTGTTCAGTAAATGTTAAGTATTATTATAATAAGTTTTATCTTTTCTTTAGTACTATGAATGCTAAGACAGCAGAGATGATATATTTTTACAACAGTATAACTTTGTAAGTCTTTAAGGAACCTAAGCATGTTTCTTTATCAAAATTTTAAGCAACAGTAAATGAAATAACAGTTACAGTACTTACTTTGTAGCAGCACCAGCAAAATGTCTGGTAGGCACTTGAATGTTTACAGAACAAGGACAAAGAGATGTCTGATGAATCATCTTAGAAAGGCTATGCCTTTGATTATGTGTCAAGACTTGAAAGGAAAAACATAAAATAATCATTATATTAATAAATTTTATATTCTAAAAATTAGTATTTTTAAAACAAAAAATGTCCAACATTTGTGATTCTTTTTGTATGTATGATTCTAAAACACTCTTTAAAATGTGTAATGAAAACCAAATTTCTAGAAGCTAAGCAAACACATGATATTTGAACAATTTCTTATCTTCATTTATTTTTAACTTAACGTAGTTCAGAGTCAACATAGAATGTTAGTTGTATTGTTAAGGAATATGTGTATGTACCCCTGAAATGTTTAATAATTTACATTTTATTTATTCAGTTCTTAACAGATCACACTTTCACAGAGTTGTGTAAGTATTTCTGAGGATAAGAAGAAAGTGAGGACTTGCCTTCCCCCAACAACTGTAACACTACTATAATTAAGACATTTTGGTAGTAGCACAAATATAGACAGACAAAGCAACAAATGGCTCAGCAATAAACCTGTACACATATGGACAAAGATATTACTGCATATCACCATGCAAAGAATTCAGTAAGCCCATGCTGAGATAAATGACTATTCATAGAGAAAAAATAAGATTGGATCCCATCACCATTTTGAATCCCATGTCACATACACACAAAACTCAGATATAAAAAGATTAAAGACTTACACGTGAATGGCAAAACTGAAAGACTTTCAGCACACTGGAAAATACTTTATGATGTTTGGGAAGGGAATGATTTTACAAACAAGAAAAAAATCACTAACCAAAATGTGACTGCATTAAGTGTAAAAAAGTTCTTTTCATTAAATATATTTTAAAGTAAAAAAGTGAGTCAAAAACTTGTAGGCTATAACATGCATAAGTGACAAAAGATTGGAATCTTTAGTATCAACCTAACTAAAAAATGAACACAAGGTATAAAGAGGCTTCTAAATGAAAAAATGCACAACCTTTTTAATAAAAACAAAAACAAAAAATAAAAACCTCTTTATAACTTTATAAATTTAAAACAAAATATCTTACCTCAGTGGTACTTAAGTGGTGCTCAGTTGATTGTTACAGATTGTTACAACCAAATTAAGATTAACCAGTGTACAAAAAAAACATGTTATGTGAGAGCAATTATCTACATGGATAATATGAATTGGAAAGTACTTTAGAAAACATTACTTTTTGCAGCTGAGCATCTACATCCCAGTCATGCAGCAATTCTATTTCTAGACATGTACACTCACTACATACATGTGCTAAGAGATGTGCACAAGAATGACTGCAGCACTGGCCATAGCAAAACTGCAGAGAAGAAATCAAACATTCATCTACAATAGATAAATACTTCGTGGTGTATTTCTATAACAGAAAGCTACAGGACTTTAAAATAAATGCTGCCATTAAGTGAGTTTCACAAACATAATCTGAAAAAGAAAAAGTGGCAGAAACGCTATTTACAATCACTGAAAATTATCATTTCAAGAGAAATATACCAAACTGCTACAGACTAAGAATAACCAAATTACAAAAATATCACCATTTAAGGAGCACTATTAGACCATGATACCTATATTTTCAATCCATTCTTAGCAATAACCTCACTTGCTACTTCAAAGAACATGTCTTCAAAACTTCCTCAACTACTTATGAACCTGCTGAATCTGCACTCGTCTCTACAGTCTTCTCCATGCCTGCCTTGGGGTAAGAAGATGAAAACTACTCCAGACACTTTGTTATTTTTTTAGTTGATACAAAAAATTTAGCATTCCCAGGCATCATTCCAAAACTCCCCTCTCAACTGACTCTAATCTTCACCTTCTCTAGATCTTATCCATTTGGTCATTTCCTTCTACAACCATTAGACTCAGCTCATTCTCTATCACCTACCACCTCGATTATAGCTGGATTATGGAAACAGCTTCAAACTGTTCTGTCTTCTGCTGTTGGTCTTCTCCATTTCTTTCCTGCCTATAGTCAGTAATGAAGGATCACTTTTAACACATTCAGCAACAGGTTGTAATTCATGTATCTCACTGCCAAGCAGCTCTGATGCATTGGTGCCCTATGTTCATTATAACTGTCCCATCAGGCAACATGAGATGATTGTAAATCTACCACAGGTGGTGTAAGCCATTCAATCGACAGTCATGCATGTAGCACTAGTGATTCAAACTCACAGGAACATGTTAAATGAACATTATGTCATGTCCTTACCCCTCAGAGGCTTAACCTGGCTCTCTGAGAAAAGTGAGTTCCTATTAAAGTACTCCATGAGCTACTTCTAACCTATCTAGTGAATTTCATCTAACTCGATTCTCCCTTATGTTTACCATGCTTCAAATGCACGCATTTCCTTTCAGTTACCTGAACACACCCTGTTTTTCACCAACTTACAATTTTTGTATACAATCTTCCTCCCATCTGTGACCTTTTCTCTTCACATGGCTAATTCCCAGAAAGCCAGCCATCTTTCAGGGTTTCTACTTAAAACATTCCTTATTCAGAACAGTCTTCCCTGAAGATTCACCGTAAACTAAGTCTCTCATATACTCTTACAGAATCTCCTACTTTTCTTTCTCAGCATTTTAGGGCATTTATAAAAGAAGAAAGAATTATTGATAAGTGTCTGCTCCTAAATAGATACTAAACACCAAACCTGGAAATGTGGACAACTTGTTCACCATGTATCCCTAACACTTAGCTCAGTTTGGCAAATGGAGACCCAATAAATATCTGTTCAAAGATGAACACATTAGAGCAAAAACTGAATTCAAATTGCTTTAAGTATTAGCCACTATAACAAAGTGGGGTGGTACATGAGTGTATCTCTGTGTGCATGCATGTGTGTTCACGAATAGTTTTACTGGTACATGACTAGCTCTTTTCTTTAATTATCCATAGCCACTTTTATGCTACAATGATAAGAGTTCAGTAGCTACAAAATATGTTCATTAACAAGATGAATGGGTTAAAGAAAGTACAGTATTTATATATAATGGAGTACTACTTTACAATGAAGCATAAACTTGAATAATTTGTAGGAAAATGGTTACAACTTGAGACCATAATGTTAAGTGAAATAAATGATAGATAAAAGATAGATAATAGGAAAAAGGAAGATCTTTTCCAAAGGGGAAAGGGACCAATACAAGTATTTTCTGGTCCCTGCTATAAACATTTCTCTTTTTTTTAAACCAGGAATAGGAGTAGGTAAAGCTACTACAGAGCACAGCACTAAGGCACCTACAACCAAGGTATGTGAATGTCATTGCAGAAGGCCAGTCAAGAACTCTGTGCTTTGGATACTGTCCAGAGAACAAAAAAACAACTAGCAATAGAGTCCACCTAAATTCCCACATGCTTATCAAAATACGTGACTGGCTGGGTATAGTGGTATATTCCTGGCGTCCCAGAACTTAGTAGGCTCACGCAAGAGGATTGAGAGTTTAAGGAAAGCCTGAGCCCCACAGCAAGTTCAAGACTAACATGAACTACAGAGTAAGACGCTGACTCAAAAACCTAAGAAATAAAAAAAATTTTTTGAGTCTTCAAGATGGGTATATATCATATCACACAAATTTTTGGTCATGCCTTTGTGTTGGTCTCTTATACACTTATATTTCTATGTATTCATTTCATGCAGTTTGAGGAGGGTGTCCTAAAATAGAACTTCTCAAAGGTTAAGCACAAATAGATATATTAGCAGAGACACAAGATTTTTAGAAGAAAATACAAGTCTTGCTACATAACCTATAAGGGGTATTATGGCCTGTGTCTAGATGTCCCCCCAAAGCCTGATGTGTTCATAAGGTGAGGCTTTTCAAAGGCAGCTGGAATAAAGTGTGTGATGCTGAGATTAAGGGTATGATGCTGGGATCAAGGGTATATGATTACTAAATTAGTTCATTAGTTGTTTGGCATAGTTCTGGGTGTGGATAATGAGAAGGCCCACCCTGGGTGTGAGTGCTACCCACCCCGAGGGTATATAACCTAGATAGAGTATGAGAGACAGAAAAAGGGGTGCTGTTGTCACTTGCCACTCACTATTTTGCTACTTTGCTGCTGTGCTACTTTTTCTGCCTTCCACAGGCCAAGATCTACTTCCCTCTACCACGCTACCATGCCTTGGAGTTAGCCGATTACAGACTGAAACCTCTACAAAATGTGAGCCCAAGAACACTTGTCTCAGCAATAAGAAAATCAACTAAGAGAAAGGTTGTGGTGCAAGATACAGCAAAGCTATTCTCATCGGAAGATGGGGAAATTATTTGATGATCCATTATTCATTCATTCAATAATGAATGTGCCAACAAAGCATAAGGGCTGATCAAAAATATGTTTAAATTCTAAAATTTATTACAGTGAAAGATGCAATACCATTAATCTCCTTCAATATATTCTTCCTTTATTCAAATACACTTATCATATCATTCTTGCCACTTTCTGAAGCAATTCTGCAAGTCCTCCTTCATGAGTGTCTTTACAAAGAATGACCCAAAACACAGTGAATGCAGCTGTCAAATGCTTACCAACAGAAAGGCAGGCTCATAAAAACTTACAATATGTCTTCATCCACTTTACTCACCCAATCCAGCATCATTGCCACTTCTGGCTCCTTTCCAAAGTTAAAAAACCATGAAAGGCAAATGTTTTTAAGCACTTCAGTAAATGGAAACAGTCATAACAATACAACTAAAGACATCTAAAAGTACTTCAGAAAATGGTGAGAACAATGGGAAAGTATGTTTGAAGCAAGGGGAAGTATTTTCAGGGTGATTAATGGCAATATCTTTTACTGTAATAAAACTTAAATTTGAACATTCACTGTATTTTTGATCACACTGAGTATGTGCTAGCACTGCTTTAAACAGTTAAGACAGTGCTGGTGAATAGATAGCACATGTGTCACAGTAGATTGTATCATTCAGGTTCGCTATCACTGATTTAAGCTATGTCAATGGACAAAACACAAAATCCCTATCTTCATGAAACTTATGTTCCACTGAGGGGAGACAATATTAATAAATATAATATGGGGGAAAAGAAAGAGTGCATGATAAACAAGACTGAGTACAAGGGAAAAGTAGTTTGCAATTTTACATTTATTTATTTATTTATTTATTGTCTTTTTGAGACAGGGTCTCGCTATGCAGTTCAGGCTGGCCTTGAGCTCACTTTGTAGCCCAGGCTGGTCTCGAACTCGCAACAATTCTCCTGCCTCAGCCTCTCAAGTGCTGGGATTACAGGTGTGAGCCACCATAGTTTGCAATTTTAAATGAAGTGGTTAAACTAGGCCTCATTTTAAAAGTGGCATTTGAGCAAAGAATTAAAGAAATGAGAAAGTTAAGAGTGTAAGTATCTAGAAAAGTGTGTCAGACCAAAGATCTCAAGACAGAAGTGTTCTTGGTATAAGGAACAAGGAGGAACCATGTGTGCTGGTAGACATCTGTGATCCCAATGTTGAGAAGAATACATCAGTAATACCATGAGTTCAAGGCTACCCTGAGATGCATAGCAAGATCCTGCCTTGAAAACAGAAAGAAACAAGAAAGCCATTGGGACTATAGCAGAGTATGAAGGAAGTTAAATGAAGAAGAGATCAGAGAGGTGAATTGGAGGATGGGGAAAAAAAGCAAGTAACAGATGATGTAGATGACTGTTGGCTGGTGTTATTCAATAGATGTATTACACAAGCAACATGTAATTTTAAATTTTCTAATGGCATCAGTTAAAAAAAAAGGCAAAAATAATCCAAGCATGGTAGCACACAGGATAATCTCAGGATTCTGGGAGGCTAAGGTGAGAGAATCACAAGTTTTAGCCCATCCTGGGCAACTTTGACTTAGATCTTATTTCAAAAAATAAATATGAAAAGGGCTGGTAATATAGATTAGTGCAAAGGTCCTAGGTTCAATCTAGATATTTTACCTTTTTTGTACTAAGCCTTCAGAATCTAATGTGCATGATCTTAGAAACAGAACCTTTTTTTTGGTACCAAGAATCAAACTCAGGACCTTGCACTTGCCAGGCAGGCACCTGTGCTGCTGAGCTATATCGCTGGTCCCTAGAAACAAAATATTAAAAAGTCAGATTCATAGTAGTAAGTAGAAGAATGATCACCAGAGGCTGGGATGAGCTGGGGGTAAAAAGGGGAGGGAAAGAGAATAGTTAATACAAGGGTGATGCTGGATCAGAAGAATAACTGCAAATGTTCTATAGTACAGAAGCACAACTATTAACAACAATTAATTGTACACAGGGCCAGGGATTTATCTCAGTGGTTCAAGTGCTTGCCTGGTAAGTACATGGTCATGAGTTCTATCCTCGGTACCAAAAATAAAACAACAATAACAACAAAAACAAAAACAAATTAATTGTACATTTTAAAATAACCAGTAAAGGGGATCTTGAATGCTCCCTTCAACACAAAGAAATGACAAATGTCTTAGGTGACAGATATGCCAATTATCCTGATACTATCACTACAGAGTTGACATGTTAATTGTACCCTATGAATTTGCACACTATGGTCAACTTTTAAAATATAAATATACATAATGATCACATTCATTATAGGGAATTCATACCTATACACAATATATCTTAGTTATTATGGGTCAATTAAAAAAATATTGGTCTTCCTGTAAGTAGCCTAAGGTGATTTGTAAAAATGGTTCACCCAGAAAATCTCACAAAAATCAAGCAAATCAAAAGGTTCAAATTTTCACTTTAAGAACACCTGTGGGGCAGTATAGCTCAGTGGTACAGTGTCAGCCTGGCAAGTACAAGGTCATGAGTTCAATTCCTGCTACAAAAAAAAAAAAAAAAGTCACCAAGTACCTAAAAGATGTTACTTTTAAATGAGCAATGTGTACTATTTGATCTTACAGAAAGAACTGATACAAAACAATGGGGCTGAACAAAGGACTTGTGCCTCCAAAAAGTGATGAATTTTTGTAGTCCAAGCTTAAAAATGTTGAGTACTGCTGAAAATATCAATACTCTGGCAACTGAATATATCCAGATCAACAAAGCATGCTTACCTATCTCATGATCAGGTTAACACACACATGAGCCTCCCTGCCATATTAAGATGATCCACACTGAAAACGAAGAAATGGTTCCTAAACCAAAAGAAGTCGCACCAAAGAAAACATATCCCAAAAGAAACTGAAGAAACAAAAACCATGTACAAGAATAAATTCAGGATAAGATAAATGCAAATAAAAGCAAAAATAACATATACTAAAAAATCTATGGGAAGCTGAGACAGGAGGACAAAAGGATCACAAGTTTAAGTCCACCTGGGCAACTTAATGAGGACCTGTGTCAAAAAAGAAAAGCACTGGGGAAGAACCTCAGAACTCAGAAGAGAGGCAGAAAGAGAGGGAAGCAGGGAGGGAGGAAAAGGGAGCAAGACGGGAGGGAGGGTGCGTTGATCTAATGTGTACTTGGCACACTAAATGCATAACAGCCTAATATGAAGTGTTCAGTGATGACTAAGAAAATTAGTATCACAACTGTGGGCCATTTAAGGACTCTGGACAGGCTTTTCAGAGCTCAGGGCACATGATCATATGATTTAAATTTTTAAAAGAACAATTTAATACATAATCAGAGAAGAACTATAGAGAAAATCCAGGTAAAAGACGGTGGTAACTTAGAACAGTGTTACAGTAAAAAGTCAAAATCTATGTTAATTTGAGGATTAAGTCAACTAGATTTTCTATGAAGCATGAGAAAAAGAGAGCAGTCAAAGATCTCAGATTTTGGCCTGGACAACTGAATGGGTGGAGTTCCATCAAATCAGATGAGGAAGACTGCAGCTCTGAAAGTGAATTTAATTTTAAACATGTGGTACCCATAAGCTATCAAAGTAGAGACCTAGAACATTCAGATGAGTGTAAGACTAACTTCAGGAGAGAAGTCCCAACTGCAGATACAAAGTTGACCGTCATAAAAATACAATAGTTAAGGCAATGAAACATGGATGAGATCACTAAAGGAGAAAATTCACAGGCAGGTGTGGTGGTGCTTGCCTGTAATCCTAACACTCTGGGAGGCTGAGAATGGCAAGTTTGAGCCCCACTAGGCAACTCAGCAATTTAGTGACTTAGCAAGACTGTATCCAAAAAAATAAATAAATAAAGAGGACTGGGGTTGTAGCTCAGTGTGAAGGCTAATTTCTAGAAGAAAAGGGGTGGGTGTGAATTTATGCCAAAAGAGTGAATTTAGATACCAAAATTATGATACCAAAATACCTAGCTTTTATGAAATTCAAAAGAAAAAGACTTGGTAGAGAAAGACGAACAAACCAAGTCATGAAAAGCAATGACAGGAGAAATAGGAAAAATATTAAGAAAAAGTATCCTGGGGCTGGGGATTTAGCTCAGCGGCCTAAGTGCCAGCCTTGCAAGCAGGCAGTCCTGAGTTCGATCCCTGGTACTGATAAAAAGGAAAAAGACCGGAAAAAAAAAAGTATCCTGGAAGAGCAGAAAATGTGGCAGACAGGAATGATAATCTTCTGTCCCCTTTTTTGGTTTTCTACCATATATGAAAATACCATCAATCTCTTCAGCAATAAATATATGTATATACATATATAAATATAGATATCTTACTCACTTAAGTCTGTTGTGGTCTCTTGCAAATCTAAATTTTCAACTACTATCCCAAGTAATGGATATTGGTCTTAACGTCTTCTCTTTATGAAGTTCATAAGGAAAACTGATACAGCGTTTTATAAAGGGGGCAGTGGAGAATCAGAGACTGGGGATGGAGCTCAGTGATAGAGGCCTACCTAGCATGCATGAGTTCATTCCCTAGCACTGCAAAACATCGGTGACCTTGGATTTCATGGAAAAAAAAAAAAAAAAAACGAAAAACAAAACAAAAAAATCGGTGGCCTGGGAAGAGTACAAGCTTCAACCCTTCTTTCACTTACTGTACGAATTTGATCAACATAGTAAGTCAGTTTCTTCCTCTGCAAAACGTTGATTATGGTTGTAGCCTCCGCCTGACAGTCTACCTTAATTCAGTAACAGCATATGGGATATCATTGTACTTCAAACACACAACAAAAACAAAAAAAAAACACTGTTCAAAAAAATTCATTCTAAATAAATTACACAAAATTGTGAGCTTCATTCATTCCTGAAAAGCTGCTATTAAGAAATACTACAGAATTTGCATCTCAATGATAAACATTTATCTAAATTAGATAACGTCTGGAAGAACTGGAATCATCTGCAGAGAACACCAATCAGCACTTGTAAAACTGTCAAAGTTTATAGGCACAACCCACTTAAATACACCACCTTTCTGTAACTGGAACTCTAGGCACGTATCAAACTCTACGGACTCCCACCCCACACAATCAGGACCAAAGATAGGACCCTGGCCTAGCCTTCCCCACGGCTAGCTGGGCGGACTCAACGCAATCCACTTCCCATGCCATCCTCAAAAGACTGGGTCTAAAAAAAGTGCCTCTGAAAGGGCACTTTTAAGTGATAATCCCTCCAAACAACTTGGAACCAGACAGTGCGCGGCAAATTTCGAGCACTTAAAGCTGACCGGTGCTGAGCTGACTCTGGCTGGCACTCTGCCGCACCAGAATTCAACTGTCAGAACTATGAAGTCCAAGACAAACCTCTAACTTACCCCTGCCGAGGTACCTTACGGCCGCCGCCATGTTAACCGTTACGGATTGTGTTGGCGAAATTTGTCCCACGTTTCAACTGGGAAGACCTTCACAAAGGTTCCGCTCCGGAATTGGCGGAAGGGGAAGGGTTTAGAAAGAGCAAGAGGAACGGGCGGGGACGAAAATAGGCTTCCCGCAAGCGTGTAGGTGTCACTGTAAGCTCTCCGTGGCCTTCGCGGTCCTCGGAGCTGTGAGGTTTCGGCAGGACGGTCTTGTTGGAGACGCTGTAATTTTATTCTTCCCTTCTTTTATCTTTTTTAATCATGCAGATGTATTCAGAAGGGTTGTAATAGGTCGTGAGGGAGCCTATCTAATTTGTTCAGGGCCTTTTAAAAACCTACAAAGTTGGGCGGAAGCTGTGGCTCAGCGGTAAGCTGCCCACTTCCCCCTGAAAAGGGAAGGGAAGTCCGCCAGGCTCCCAACCTAGCAGAGGGCAGGCGTTCCTCTCCCCAGCTAACTCCCTACTTAGCTCACTATAAAAATCAATAGTTTTAATTTACACTAATAGTAACGTAAGATTAATATTTACATTCCCATCCCAACACTGCCATAGGGTCAGTTGAATAAAAATACAATACTTGACATTTATGTAAACATGTCTAATTTTAGTTTGGCAGCTTTGAGACTCATGATAAATTATTCTGGAAAAAGAAAAGTCCTGAATGTCCTTTCCATTCCATTACAGCTGTTGGTGTAGTTTATCTAAAGCAAATCTGGTCACGGATTATATCACTTCCCAGTTTAAAATAAAAGCCTCCAATGAGTGGCATCTCTAAAAGGCCCCCCTGGCCCCTGCTACCTAACTCACACTCACGCACGCACACGGTTTCTCACCCGTGTGGCTTGGATCAGTCTGTCCTCTCTGCTTGAAGTGTCTTGCATCTTGTTTTGTTATCTTTTTAATTTCAGGTTGGACTTTACTCATGGATGAAGTTTTCCTCTGCCTTGCCAGGCTGAGTTATAACCAGCTTACCCCGGTTTTAAGTAGTTCCTAGGAGTTGTATCTGGGTTTGTTTATTCGAAGCAATTTTAAAATATAATTTATGTGTCATACAACTCACAGGCTTTTTTGTTTTTAGTAAATTGTGCAAGTCACTGTGTTTTAGTAAATTCGAAGAGTTGTAAAGCCATTGCTATGTATTTCCACACCTGTCTCAACTCTTTGTGGGCAGAATTGATCTCATTCATTTTTGTAACTTCAGCACCTATTACAGTATGGGGTCATTTGTGAGGCTCTCAATAAATGCTTAATAAATGAATACATGCATGCATGAGTTAGTAACTCTTAAAATGTCAACCACACAAAGTTTACCTTATTCCATGCTGCTCACAAAAGCTGGACTGGATCTAAGAAAAATTTCCCAGATGTTTTCCTTCACATTCATATGTAGTGCTCATCTACATAAAATTAGAAAACTATTGCCTTTTCTGAAACAGTTACTTCAAAGCTTTCACAACCATTTGTGTCTCTTATGCAAAAAAAAAAAAAAGCACTGAAACATGCATTTACCTTTATAAATTTCTTCTTCCTGCCTGCCCTTCTTTCCTAACCCTAACCCTCCCCTTTTTTCCTACAAATACATAAGCATCTGTCATGTGTCAAGCAGTGTACCTGGCTAGATATAGATGTAATGAAAAAACAAAGTCACTCCCAGGACACTTAAAAAGTAATCCACTTTACAGAAGTTCACCTAGTCCATTTCAGGCAAAGCAGACACCCAAATAAGGGATTTGGAACTTAGTCTTTACATTTGTTCCCCATCTGCAGGCCTCTTTGTGTTTCTGTTCTAATCGGGGAATATGACCATTCAGTATTGAGACTCAGTAGTGGGTAGTATAGTTCCCATCATTACAGCAACATCCTATGTAGGTACAGCTTGCCTCATTGCCTCCTTTGGACACTGGAAATTAATGGCATGAGTCGGGGGGCCCAGTGTCCAGTTATGTCATAATAGGTCTTTTAGTTTGAAAATATATAAAAACTATAAAACAACTTGATGAAAAAAATCAATGTGCTGCAGTGGAAACTCCAAACCTTTAAATATTCATTACAAAATAATGTTCTTCCTTGCTGAAAAAAAGCAGTGAAACCTTCTGGTTAGTTGGTGGTGCTCAAGATCCAAACTTCTGGTTTTTAATCCAAGTATCACAACTTACTAGTTGTGTCACAGGATAAGTTATACTTCTCTGGGTCTCCATTTCTTCCTTTGTGATACAAGTTAATAATGAGACAATTTCTTTTTTCTTTTCTTTTTTTTTTTATTGGAACCGGGGATGGAACTCACGACTGCCTGCTTGCAAGGCAGGCGCTTATGCCGCTGAGCTAAATCTCCAGCCCAATAATGAGACAATTTACAGAGGTACTTCTACACTATCTGGCACAGTGTAAGTGCTCGCAAATAGATATCATAAGTAAGTTTACAAAATCAAAATGAAATATCTGCTTATATAGTAATATAATTGACACTGTTCTTGTCCCCATACTATATGTTCTGCGGTTCTGGAGTCTGCTTCTAGAGATTCTTTCTAAATTTGTCTTGTCCTGAACAAAGAATTGGACAAAACAAGTGCAAAAGGTAATAAGGTTTTTACAGTTATTAAAGGTAGGAAAAGAGATATGCTGTGCAGTGCAAATGGGCCATTTAGCTGCAGGAAAAGAAGTGCACCCTGCAGACTAAGTGCAGACCATTGTGAAAGGGAGCAACAGTGGCTGAGAGCTTATTGGCTGTTGTCTTTTGTCATACCTCAGGCTGACATCAGAATTAGGCTATGCTGTCAAAAACTGGCTTGAGTTCTCCAAAGAACTGAAAACACCATTCTCTGATTGGTCCCAGGTGCTGCATGATTAACGAGTCATGCCTACATACCCAGCCAGTTTGCCACACCCTAACCTGCTTCACCAATATATGCCAGGATGCCATTTTGTTCATATTTAGCATTTGCAGAAAAGCTTTAGGCTGTGTTCATACTCATTCTCAGAGTTTGTTTTAAAATGAAACTTCTAGTGCTGGTCGTGGTGACACATGCCTGTAATCCCACCACTCAGGAGGCTGAGGCAGGTAGACTGTCTTAAGCACAAAGCCAGTTTGAGCTATATAGTGAGTTCAAGGTCAATCAGAACTACATGATGAGGCCGTAGTTCAAAAATCAGTCAACCAACCAATCAACTGAAATGTTTCTCTGTTGATTTCTGGAAAGATTTAGGAGCTCCAAAAGTCTTGGCAAAATGCCAGCTTGGCTAACATTTTGGGAAAAATTCCTAAATATGTGCCTAGCCCTGTTGTTGTACTGACTGGTATCTTTACTTTCTTCAAGCATCTCCCAGTTGAGCTGTAAACCCTTCTACAAGCACAGTCAATTCCTGTTTGGAATTAGAATTAAAAATAGATTCTTGGGCTGGGATTTAGCACTTGCCTGGTAAGCATGAGGTTGTGAGTTCAATCCCCAGAACCAAAACAAAATAGAGTCTCTTATTGGACAAAAGGAACTCTGGAATATTTCTGTGTCAGTAGTGTGCACTAGAATCACTCAGAGGGCTTATTAAACTCAGATTGATAAGTTCCATACTATAGGTTTCTGATACAGTAGGCGTGGAGGGGAAACCTGTGAATCTGGCTCGCTTGCTTGCTTGCTTTTCTTCTGGGAATTGAAGCTAGATCTTCACACTGAGTGACACTCCCAGACCTTTTTATTTTTATTTTGACACAAGGTCTTGCTAAGTCAATAAATTGCCAAGACTGAGCTCAAACTTCTGAACTTCTTGCCTCGGCTTTACAGAGGCTGGGTAACAGGTTTGCGCCATCATACCCAGCCTAGATTTGCATTTATGTTAGGTTTTCAGATGATGCTGATGTACTGGCCTAACTCTTTACTTTGATAATTACTTCTGGTATAATACCATGAGACATTTGTATCCGTAACTAACATTACTTTTTGTGTAATCATTTTATACTCAATATTATGTAGGCTACAAAACATCTCCATGCGGCATCCTCTAGAGCCAGAGTCTACCCACTCTTATCTTCTCCAGTTCTACACAGAAACTGTTATTTACCTCAGAAATGTTCAATATTGCCAGGTATGATGCCACACACCTATAATCCCAGTACTGAGGAAGGCTGAGAAAGGAGGATCACACGCTTGAGTCCTGCCAGGGTAGTTTACCAAGGCCCTGTTTCAAAATAAAAAAAATAAAAAGGGCTGGGAACATAGCTCAGTGATACTGTGCTCCTGGCTTCAATCCTCAGGACCACCAAAGGAAAAAAAATACACAATCAGCAAGAAGAATTTCCAATGCCTTTATGTATATTTAACTGAATTTAAAGTGTTACCAACTCCTAAATTCCCTACTCTACCCCTAACATCTGCTCATTTATTCAGATTATTTTTTAATAAAAATTTATCTAAAATAGTAGGTATTTTTGTTTTGTTTGGTTGGTTGTTGAATTTAGATACACTATCTCACTGTTTAGTCCAAACCAGACTTGAACGCACTGCGAAGCCCAGGTTGGCCTCCAATGTGCCATTCTTCTGCCTCAGTATCCCAAGGTGTTGGGATGATAGGTGTGGGCCACTGTACCTGACTAGTTTTTAGTCTTAAATTTGAATATTTATGAGTGACAGTTTGCAACTCATTTCACTTTGAACTACATATGTGGGAGCCTTTCTATCTCTCCAGGAGTCTATTTTAATTCCAGGTTTAATGAGGAAACCAGAACTATCCTGTGGTATGCTGACAGAAGTTTAACAACTGTTTTTTTTTCTAGTATGAAAGAATTGAATTGGCAGTGTTTGCCTATTTCCATGCTATAAGTACTTTCAGAATAATTGATTTCAAGCCTCCAAAGACAAAATCAACCAGCTTACAAAATTTATTATAATTTATCACTTGGTTTTCACATGGCTACAACATATTACTGGAAGTTTCCTAGTAAAAACTTTCTGTAAATATTAAACCTAAATTAGCAGTGCATGGTAGCACACACCTATAATCCCAGTGTTCTGGGAGGATAAAGAGGCAGGTCACAAGTTTCACTTCAGGTTGAGGAAGTTAACAAGAACCTGCCTCAAATTTTAAAAACGGTTGGAAATGCAGTTAAGTGTAAAGGCCCTGAGTTCAAACCTTAGTACAAGGGTGGGAGACCCCCTAAATCAAACCAAAATCTG